GTCCACTGGCATGGGAGCACAGAATTGATGCTGTGAGCAGGGCAGAGGGTGACTTACGGTCCAGTTAGAATCCAAATGTCTTTCTAAATCAGCCCCCCCACCCCCAAAGCTGCTGGCACTTTGGAGCCCAATGCCAGCTATCCTGACCCTTAGCTGAAAATTCCTATTTCCTAATGCCTATGTCAGGAGCCAGGCTTCCTGTCCACTGGCATGGGAGCACAGAATTGATGCTGTGAGCAGGGCAGAGGGTGACTTACGGTCCAGTTAGAATCCAAATGTCTTTCTAAATCAGAGTAGCCACAGGGGAGGGGAAAAAAAATAAACTAGCTGTCCTGTATGCCCAGAAATGAGGCAGCAAGCCTTTCAGATAAGCTGTCTTGTTTTCCATAGGAAGGTGGAAGCTCTGAGTGGATTCTGGCCAGGGAGAACTGAAGCTGCCACCACACCAAGCCAAGGACCAGTGTGACTCCACCAGGTGAAAGGCTTCCATGTGGTTTTCCAGTGCTGGTGTCAAATGCCCAGGGAGCATGGGCAGATTGTTTGCAGCTGTCACAAGCGATGGCACTGGCGACGTGAGTCACCTTCCCATGGCCACTTGTCCCCATCCATTTCCTCTCACGCAGTGTCTGCACCATGTGGTGAACAGTCCCCAGGAAACCACGGGCATGTGTCCCACGAAGCCCTCACGGCCCCGCAGCCCACCCCTGGGGCCTGCTGTTGAGGAACACCTCACCGTGAGCCAAGCAGAGGGCAACAGCAGTGACATACAGTGGTCAAAACTGACCCTCGGGGCAGGGATAAGATCTGGGCTCCCCCCAGTTTGCAAACAGCAGCTCTCGGTGAGCACAGGGTAAGTAACGCCTCTGGGCGCCACTCTGGGCAGCCACCTCGTCACTCCTCAGCAGCTTCAGTGCACAACCTTGGACAAGTGCTCCTGACTTTTAAAACATTATAAGGCAAGACCTACTTGCCTGTTGACAGCTTTAAATAATACTTTCTTAACTCTACTCAAAGTTAATGCAATATTACACACATTTTAATTACATCTTTAACTGCTAACAATAGGCGTGCATTTACTGGCACAACCCCCTCCTTATTTGGTGGCTGCAGTATCATTATGGAGGGGTAACTTCAAAGCCTTGTCTAATTGTCATGTGTCAAAGCCTTTATTTCAGATTACTGTGTGCTCTCCTACATCTCAGCTAAGTGGCCTTGTTCAAGAAACTGAAAAGATGATGAGGCATTTTTCCTTGAACTGCTTTATCGGGCAGGCTTTGATGCTTTAAACCACTACTTGGACAATACTGACATGTTAAGTTGAAAAAGGAAACCCTATCAGAGTGCTGTGCCAGCAAAGGAATTATGTTCTGACAGTGATTAAGTAGAACATGTACCTTCCAGAATTATAAATAAAGATTAAGTATCAAAGAAGACCCTATTGATTCAAAATACACCATGTATCTCGCACACCACATTTTTATTCTCAGTTATACCGAATTTTCCAGAGAGTCACACAAGGACACATTGCCATTAGATTGACACTGAAGCCACTTCCCAAATGACCATATTCGGTCTGCAGCCCAGTTCTTAACTTTAGCAACACAAACTGGCCTGAATACTTTGCTACTTATTAACTTGAAATTCCAGGAGACCAGGATAAAAAGGTCATCAAGAGCCCAAAGGTCATTTCATTTGCCCAGAGAAACCTACTTTTGTGGTGATGTTGTTGTCTTTGGGACCAGCCCTTCCTGCTTCTCTCGCAGACCTCCCCTCACTGTGACAGGTGCTGACAGAACTGCAACTTGGGTAAAAATCATAAAAGTTAAGAAATGCCCAACACCTTAAAGCCTGTCACGTGAAAAGGGGAGTGCATAGGTCCCTCACCCAGAACACAGACCTGTGGTGGCACATAGGGAACACTAGCCTGGAGGTGCTGGTCCCTGCATCACCCCCTTGGACCCCAGCACCAACATCTACCCCACTGCCACACATTTTCCTTTGGGGGACAGGCTTATGTCCCCGCTGAATGGGGCAGCAGGGACACCCTGATGGGCCAGAGCTCGGGCAGGCTGGTCCAGCCTCTGGACCTGTTACAGAAAGTGCTGGTGTCCTCAGCAGTGCTAAACCTCCCACCAACACACAGCCACCATATTTTGTCCATTAGAGGAGAAATAAAACTTCAGTGTTATTTTCAGGCACTGAGCAAAGCCCCAAAGATGACGTTACACCCCAGAGGTGCTGCCCCACATGGAGCACCCCGTGAGCCACGCTGCCCTTCAGACCCAGGCCAGGCTTCCTCTGCCAGAGCAGAAGGGGATGTGGGCTCGCCTGTGGTCTCTCCCTGCGGCTCTCCCAGGGAGGCACAGGAAACATCAGGGATCTCTCAGACCAGCTCTGCCAGCAAAAACAATGCTGCATGTGCCCCACAGAACAGTCAGGGCTGCAGCTGGAAGGAAGTGGCTGCACACGAGGGGAGAGGAGGAATCCCCACATCACTGCTGGACCCTCACACCTCCCTGTCCCATGATGGCCCTAAGCAGGCACAGGGTGCAGCGACACATCCGACCCCATCCATCCCTCAGCACCTTCCTGGGAGCAGAAAGATGGCAGAGGGCTGAATCCCTGCTCCAGAGATCACATGCACCAGCCGCAGCCCCCACGTGCCCAGCACGGGCTGCCAGCAGAACTTGGCTGGAGGCCCCTCAGGAGGAGCAGGCAGGACCTTGCAGCACCCACCCACTGCTCTAAGCTCTTGCCCAAGGCAGCTCCAGCGTTGCCTGCAGCCTCATCACCTGCCTCTTCCTCCCTTGGGAGCAGGGAGGGGCTCAGGAGGGGCTTTATTAGGCAACATCCCACAGGTGCTGCTCAGCTGTAGGTGGTGGCTCTTAATCAGAATCTCTCAGGGTAAGGGTAGAAAGCCAGACCAGGTTGGTTTCACCAGCAGCTTCACCCCTCTTGCATAAGACCAGGAGAGCCATGAACGGGCAGGGTTCAATGTGAGTTTTCATTGAGTGGGTTTTATGACCCGATAAGGAGCAAAGAGTACACGCACAGAAAGTGCAGTAAACAGAGAGATAAAGCAGTGCAGAAGGGAGCAGGGGCTCCCCACGCACCCCCCAGGTCACCTCGCTGCTGCCTGCCCTGCTGATAGCGCCTGGCATGGGGGGGAGAGGGGAGGGTGATAAACAAGCGGAGCTGGGGACAAACACGGCAGAGATGAAGGGGGGTCCCCGTGGTTCAGGGTTAACACACTCACAGGCACCACCACAAACATTTGCTTTTTGATGCCAGAGTAGCCAAAGCCAGCCTGGTTTTCAAGGGAGCTCCAGGTTGTGATGACTCTGACCCTGAGGCTGCATCCACTGTTGCAAGCCCTCAGCTCAGGCTGTGCTTTGAGCAAGGTCAGGCGCTGATTTACAGCCCCTCAAGCTCTCCTCCCTCTGTATTTGTTCCCTCTAGAGCCTGACCTGCCCGAGGCCAGCTCATTAGAGACCCAGCAGAGAGGAAGGTCCCTCCAACCCCTGTTATTTTGGAGGGTCACACGCCTGCTCCCCAGGGCTCTGTCTCCATTAGCAAGCACCAGGGCAGCGTGGCAGCACACCCCTTGCTAACAGCAATCGCTACAAATCCTCGTCTAGCCCAAAGGCACTTGTGGTGCCCATTTCCACACTCACAGCACCCACCCTGGAGAGACATGGCTGTCTCCCCAGAGGGACCCAGATCTCGATGAGGTCAGCATGCAGCATTTTTGGGAGCCCCCCATGCGTCGTGTTCTGTGCCAGCTCCATCTGACCCTGATTAGTTGATTCAGCCAGGGTTGGGACCCATGTCACTGGTGCCTCTGGATCTGCATGGGTGGCTCTGCAGGCAGGGCAGTGGGGTGCAAGCAGGAGAGGGGATGTGAAAGTGCCCTGCAAGCACAGGGAGAAAAATCCAAGACACTTGAAGACACCATTTAGCCTGACTTCTTGTTAAACCTCCCACCATTATACCTGGTCAGAGGCTGACAAATGCAGCTCTGGGTGAGAGCTGGGACATGGAGGAGGAAGAAGCAAGGCAGGGAGATTGTTTCCCTAACAAAGCCACCCCAGCTGAAGCATCCTCACTTGCGTGTCATCTTGGCCAAACTTGTGTGTCCCCTTCTGCCACGCAGCATGAGCCAGACCCACATGGACACATCTTTGGTCACCAGCCTGAGGCTGCTGTACTGGGGACACTTGGCCAGGAGTTTTGGGGGCAGCACTGGAGTGTCACATACCTTTCCCTTCCTGTGGCAGCTGAGCCAGAAGGCCCTGTTAGCTGTGGGCAAACAACCATGGTCATTCCACCACAAGACACATCACAGCTCTGGGTGAAGAAAGAAGAGAATGAAAGTGCATGGCCTGGGGGGATGAACCATTCATCACTTTCTCATGGGGCAACTTTCTGATCATGGCAAAAGCAGAACAAAACATGGCCATAGTCAAAAACCTCCATGCCAGGGTGTCCCACCACTATTCACTGGGGCTTGTAGTGCCCACCAGGGCTTCTGATAGCCACCACTTGTGCCCTACAGAAACCCCCTTCTCCCCACAGCTGCTTCCTAGACCCTTTCACTGCTTGCCCCATCCACCTCCTGGTCCTAACCTCTCGTTTGTGGTGGCCCAGGAAGCCCAGTCCTAGCCCAGCACTGTCCATGGTGGTCCCAGCTGGTGCTGAGGCATGGCAGGAATCCCACAGTGGGTGCCTCCCTGAGGGGAGGGATGCTGGGGTTTGGCAGAGCAGTTGCTCCCCCAGGATGGGGATGTCGGCTGATGAGCCAGTTTTCCCCCAGTGCAGAAGTTCAAAGTCTCCATCTGGTTTTGCACTGGGAGCTGGAAGCGAGGGAAATGAGGAAATGGTGATTCCTGCTCATGTTTGTGATCGACACAGCTGACTGCTCAGCTGGACTTCCCGGCTGGCTGCAAAGGGACGGATGTGCAAACACACACATACATATTTATAGGCACACGCAGCAGCTCATTTTGTCTGAGTCCCTGAAGATGTTGCTCTTCATGTTGCTTTCGCTCTTCAGTTTCAACCCATCTCTGAGCCTAAAAATCTGCTCCTTCAACATGAGGTCGTTTGGAGAAACTAAAATAGCCAAACCTGAAGTCGTCGATGCAGTGGTAAAGGTATGTTCGTTTGCCTGGGTGAGACAGACATGGAGTTCTGAGCTCCAGCGTCTTGCACTTTATTTATCTTTACACAGCTGAATTTCAAGTGAAAAAAAAACCAAGAGTGAATAATTTAAACAATTTTACACTCTTAAAGGAAAAACTAGCCTGTGGTTGAGTGGGATGTTTGCTGTTATTTTAGCCTGTATGGGAATATAACAGAAACAACATTTAGTGTTTCCTTTGGAAATAGAGTTAGAAAACGAAGAAAATCTCTGTGCCCAGTAAAATTAATTCTCACTTTGAATCCACAGAGCTTTGTTTTGTGATAAATTACCTACCTTGCTTATGTGCCAATTATCGTGAAATATTCTTGTCTAATTAAATGTATTCTCAGGACAGCAGAGTATCACATTAGAGTGTGGTACAAAATTGAAAAGCCTGATTACTAATTTATGTAAACAAATCCTCACCATCAGGCTTCCTCTGCAGCAACTGACGATAGCTGATCTTTTTAAAAGAACCATGTTTTGGACTTATAGCTTTCCCAAGTGCCCTTGAGATGCCATGGTAACAGGGGACATGGTGCTGGGTGTCAGCCAATGGCTGCGTGTGCCCAGCGCCAGCGATGAGGGGTGTCACCATTTGGTCAGGGTTTAATCCTTTCCTTGCTAACAGATGAAGAGGTTTGCTGGAGTTTGTATTTCTGGACCACTCTTCCTAAACTGTCAGCACTGTGGGCAATATATACTAAATTATGGGCAATATGTTAATTTTTACAAGACTCAGGGTGCAAAAAGGGGGTTGTTCACCCACAAGGTTTGAAGAAAAACAATACCAGGGACAGAAGGAAGCCCCTGAGCATGACAGCCTGTGGGGTGAGCTGGGCTTTCCCATGGGGAATCTCAGCACTGCTGCTGGGAGCTGAGCCAGGCTGGGGCAGCCTCCCCCTCTCCCCAGCACCCTGCAGCTTCTCTGTGGTGCTGCAGCTCACGGTGCCCAGACCCTGTTTTCAGGCTGGGGGTCACTTTGGGCTCCATGGGCTATTTCAGAGGGGTCTGCAGCAGATGCCTGGGACAGGCGAATGCTGACAGCACACGCAGCTTTTGGAAGGCACAGAATAGCAATAGGAATCTAGGGAAAGGGGACTCCAGAAAAAGGATGGAAACCATTGCAGCTGATTGGTAATTACCCCAGCTCCCCTCAATGTCCCCCAGATCCTCCTGCCACATCCGTCTGGGCGCCCAGTGAGCTGGGATGTTTGTGTGCAGCACCAGTCCAAAGCAAAGAAGGAATCCTATGTGGTGAGGGGCAAGGAGGAGAGAAAAGCCTGATAGGCTGGGCTGGGGGGCAGAGGCAGCACCCCAGCAGTGGCAGGGGCAGAGTGGCCTTACAGAAGCAGCTCTCGCTGCCCCTTCCCCTCCACAGTTCCTCTTCAGGAGCAGGAGCAGAAGTTTGTCAACAAACCCGAAACCACTCTGCTGCCAAGTTCCCTCTCCCAGCTCCGGTGAGGGTGTGAGGAGGCTCTGAAAGCAGAAGGGTTTTGCTCCAGCCATTGCCCCCTCCCACGACTCTAGGCTGGGTGCCACTTCTTCCACAAAGGACTTCCCCTGCATCAGTAACCGCTTCTTTCGAACCTCTGATTCTACAAAACCCACTGCATGCAAACTTCCTTCTGCTCCTTCCCTTTGCAGATCATTTCTCGCTGTGACATCATGTTGCTGATGGAAATAAAGGAGAACAAGAACCGTGTTTGTCCTCTCCTGGTGGAGAAGCTCACCAGGTAGGGTGGCCATGAGCAACTAGGCAAATACTGGGAAAAATGCTTGGCAAGAGCCTGTGCTTTGGGTGAAAGCTCATGGTCTGGGCTCTGTCAAGGTCAGTGAGGAAGGACCAGGCTCTGGCAGCCTTGCTGAAGGCCAGGGACAAAGCCAGCTCCAGATCACTGAAGGACATGTATTTTTGAATCAAACTAACCAAGTTAGATTCAATCTGTTAAAGATTAATTCTCAAAGGAAAACAGAAGGGATGGGAGCTCCTTCACCTGGCTAGCACCCAGCTAGGGGCTGCCGTGGCCTTTCTGCAGGACCAGGAATTGCTTTAGACTGGGGACTGCCTGCCTGGACTGATTGTCCAGAAGGAAGAGCTGGACATGAGACTCAGCCAAAGGAGGGACAGAGGCTGCAAGAAACAGGGAGGGGGTAGAGTGAAAGAGACAGCAGTGGAGCATAGGTCCTGAGAAGGATTTATAGTCTCTACCACCTGCCTCTGACATTAGGCAGGCAACATCTCCTACTCTTGGGCACAGGCTAAATGACGTCCTTTTAGCCCCTTGTGAGTGCGGAGCTAAGTTCAGGAGCACCACTTTCCTTCCAGCCAGCTGGAGGGGCCGAGGGACGAGTACAGCTGCGTGGTCAGCGGGAGGCTGGGCAGGAGGAGCTACAAGGAGCAGTACGCCTTCATTTACAGGTGAGCCAGCCCCCCGAGCCCTCCCGTGCCTCAGCCCTGCCGAGACAGGCTGGACACGGTGGTGGCTTGGCCCCGGGGGAGCGGGGGAGCTGCAGGCTGCGTGGGTGGGAGGGGCTGTGGGACACGGTGTGGGGCCGTCCCACATGCAGCCACCAGCGTGGCTCTATGTGTCCCAGGCCATGGTCCAGGTCACAGCAGGGAGTCGGTGTTAACTGTGGCCCGGCAAGCCATGAGTGTGACATCCCCTACCGTGTTTGTTATGCTGCAGGCACCAGCTGGTATCAATAAAAGAAACCTACCAGTACCCTGACAACCAGCCTGGGGACGAGGATGCCTTCTCCAGAGAGCCCTTCGCCGTCTGGTTCCATTCTCCAAAAACCGGTGAGATCTTTCAGAAACAAATTGTTCTCCCACTGGCAAGCCTCAAGGAGCAAGACAGCACCACCTGAACCTGAGCACGTGGTGGGGGCAGGCAAAAGGGTCCACATCCTGACCCCACGCTGCATTGCCTCACAAGAGCAGCATTTGCCTTTGGGCCTGCTGCCTCCATCATCGCCCACAGCTCAGCACTGCCACAGCCCCAGGAAAGCCTCTGCCACCACCACGGGTGCTGGTTTGGAGGAGGCCGTGGTTGCTGGTTTGGAGGACACGCTCCATGCCACAGGCACGCCCGTGGATGTCAGAGCAGGGCTTGCCTTGCCTTAACACAGCACCTCCCCACGTCACAGCCCAGCCTTGGCAACATGCAATTACACAGCAGCAACCTCTGAGCCACGGCCTGAACAGAAGCTTTCTTCTTCAGAAAACCCTTCTCACTTCCAAGAAAATCTCTGGTTCTTTGTGATTCAGTATGTGTTTAACCATCACATTCCTTCCTGTTCTTGTGACTTGTTTTTAAGATGCCAAAGAGTTCACTATAATCCCTCTGCACACCACACCAGAGACAGCAGTACGGGAGATTGATGAGCTCTATGATGTCTATTTAGATGTAAAACAGCACTGGAAAACCGAGGTTAGTTGCCCTATCTACATTACTAAGAGCAGCTTTGGTACTGAGGCACCTGGCACAGTATTCACTACTCACAGCTGATAACAAGCCCCAGATTTTGAGCATCTCTTTGATGTATTTTTATTGAGCTCTCCACTTTTTAATCAGTAAACTTGATCTCTCAATAAACCTGTTGTTTTATCGGCATGCCTTGGTGGTGCGGCCAGCAGAAAGGAGACACCCCACTGCACTCAATAAGCGCTCACTATTTGAGTTGTAATGGCTATTGGGACCCTAAAAGTCCTTGCTGGTCTTCTTTCAAAGAGCTGTCCTCATGATTACTTTTGAAAACCCTCCTACCTTCCAGAACTTCATCTTCATGGGGGACTTCAATGCTGGATGTAGCTACGTTCCCCAAAAGCAGTGGAAGAACATCCGGCTGAGGACTTACTCTGAATTTGTCTGGCTAATTGGAGACAAAAATGACACGACAGTGAGGGGAAGCACAAGCTGCCCGTATGACAGGTAAAGGGTTCATTGCCAAACCATTCCCTGCTGATGACTCTCTGAGAAGAAAAATATATTGAAAGGTGTCACAGGCAGCCAGATAAAGCAAATATGTATGAGACCTTCAAAGATAAAACAGTGTCCAGAGGGAAACGAGATCTAGTCATAGATTTCTAATACTGCTAGTCAGGAGCACAAAGCACTTTGCAAGCAAGATTTTGCAGAAAGGGCAAGACTTCAAGCAAGAACTATCCATTGCTGTGGCTTAGGTGGAGATAAATGTCAGCCAATTACACAGCACAGTTATCTGCAGGGAGCCCTGCAAACACCCCGGGGGATGGTGCTGCTGCCTCCTCTGTGCCAGCACTGTGCTCCTGCATTTGTAATTTAGATTGACAAATGCAAAGTCTGGTTCTGCTTAGAGGTGAGACACCTCACCTTCCACGGGCACGTGGCAAGTCCTGCTGCTACCTGCAGCTTCCTCAGCAGGGACAATAAATACATCAGCCTATTAGAGCCCAGAGTAAGTCAAGATTTAAACCTCTTGCAGAACGAGCTTATGGATCAAAGTGGGACTTCACTGAGACTCCAGTCACTGGTGTCCTATGGTTTTTGTATCCAATGTACAGCTTTGAACTCTGCAGCACTCTTGGGGTGTCATTTAACATAACTAGTCATTTAACATTTGCGGCCAAGACCAATGCACACCGAGGTATTTATGTCTGTTGAGGAAAGCAATCATCTAAACTTGGCAGAAAGCAGGTGCTGGCATCTCTGAGTAGGCAGCCCACGGGCAAGTACAAACCATACGCAGCTGTGACTCCACCAGGGCCACCTCTCTGGCCACCAGCATGGTGCAGCACACCTGCTGCTGCTCCAGCACTCTGTAACAGCGTTCCTTGCTCCTTGCAGGATCGTGATCAGCGGGCAGAGGCTCACCAGCACCATTGTGCCACACTCTGTCAATATCTTTGATTTCCAGAGGGACTTTCAGATGACCGAGGAGCAGGTAGGCTCAGCATGGCCTCTGCAGCACTGGGGCTAACACAGGAGTGCAGAGCCAGCGGTGTCTGGGCAGTTGTCAACCATGGTCCTATCCATAAATCCACGGCATCCTCCCAGCGTGACACAATACCCGTATTGCTCCTCCCCATGTGCACCACTGCACATCCACCCGCTCCCCACCCGGTGAAACCCCAAGGAGCAGAGTTTGGAAAGAGCGCGGGTGGCTGGCTCCAAACCCCTCTGTTCCCTTGTCTTGCAGGCACTTGGGGTGAGCGACCACTTCCCAGTAGAGTTTGAGTTAAAAAACAAAGGCGGCTTCTTCAACTGGGTGAAATCAAAGTTTTCAAGGAAGAGGAGACCAAGAAAGAGCTACCGCTTGAGGTCATGAGCATGCTGAGTCCCCTCATGTGGTGTGGAAATACATGGATACCAACAGATCTTGTAGAAGAGCAGTGTAGATATACCTGCGCCAAGTGCAATATTTAGTGGAAGAAAAAGAAGTTTTGTTAAAGTTCAAATATTGCAAGAAGGCAAATTAAACCTTCAGGTTGTTTTCTTCATTGTATGCAAAAATAAGTCAGCTAGATGCAGCATACTAATCTTACTGTATTGATCACAAAGGTAAGGAGCTACTGCAAGGGTTAAATACACGTGTGTGCTTTATCTGTGACACCTGAAGGGCAGGGATCTCCACATGCTCACTTGGGCTCTGGAGTTCTGCCATTCCTCTGCAGGGACAGAAGGATTAAAAGGACCTTTTTGCATTTTGTGTGTTTGTGTGTGTGTGTATGCTTCAGAGATGCAACCAGCAAGGTTCAGGTCTGTGCCTGGCGATTTGCAATGTCAAATGTTGCTGAACTCAGAGTATTTGCTCAGTGTGGGTTTGAAACTGCTCACAGCACCAAGGGCTTGGGGAAAGACAGAAAGAAAAGACAATGAGAGCCCCTTTTCTACACTAACCCTGCCAGGAGCCAGGAAGACAGTGCCGGTGGTTCCCACCCCTGAGTGCCTGCCCATTGCCATCACCCTGCCTGCAAACTGCAGGTGGCAAGTCCTGCAGATCTCAGGTGTCCGCACTGCCAACAGAGCATCAGCAAAATTGACATTAAAAACTGATTCAGCATCCTGACATGGAAGTGAGCTGCATCTCCTCCCCCTTCGCTGCACAACCCTCCTTCCCCCTAAACCTCCATGGCAGCCTAAAGTTCTCCAATGAACCAAACTTTAATGTTGATTATTCAACGTAGTGGTGCAGCAATCTGTTTTCTCAGCTCAGCCCACAGGCTGTATTTAGTGCAAACCAAACCCTGTCACACAGATGGCATCTGAAAAGTGGGAATAATCCAACTGTTAGTAGAGGCAAATACTCATCTCCCTTCATCAACACCCGCTGGTTTGTCTGCTGGTGGGACAGAAAGGGATGGTAAGGCAAACGAGATAGGCTTTTAAGGGAGGACAACAGTTTGGCCTTTGCAAAACCCACTATCCAGGGAGAAATTATTTGAGGAAGGAAACTGAATCAAGAGGAGATTATCCCGGGGGGGTGCGTGCAGGGCAGACAACAAATCCTCCAACTTTCAATAGTAATTACTCTTGAAATGGTACAGATTTCATAAGCTCCCTTGGTTATACACCAGTCAAGGCATAAGGAAAGAGCCTAATTTAGAACAAATATTTACATTGGGATTTTTATAGAAATGCCACTGTCTAGCTGACGGCATCGATGGGCCATGTGAAATCTGAAATCAGTCTAAGTCTCTGGCCTCACATGTGAGTCCTACATAAGTCCCTATTCTTTCTTGGCTTTCAGAAATATGCAGTGCACAAAAGAATAAATCACACTCCATGAAAGCAATAATGGAAACATTCAACCATGAAAAATACGTAATTATGACAAAGTTTTACTGAAAATCTTTGTCCTTATTTGCAACATGGAATATAATTCTTTACCCAGCATCTGAAGATAAGAGACATGGCCAGAGAGTTGCTACTGCTGCAGCCTCAGGCATGATGTCAGCAGCCATCAGTCTGGAGGTGCTGTTGCAGAGAGGCTCAGCAGCTGACCAGCACAGAGATGTCTTAATGCAAAATGATGCTGCCCTGTGGAGAGCTGGGATGCACTCTTGGGGGACTCAAAGCAGACAGACAGCATCTGCACTTGGTTCACCACGTTTGATAAGGACTGGGAGGTGTCCAGAGCTCACAGAGTCAGCACAGTTGGTCTCTAGAGATATTCCTGGGTTTATTCCATACCTTCACTAGGCAATACTACAATTACATTCTAAAATGCTTACCGGTTTGTGTTGTCTTTACATTTTCCCTTCCTTGGGATCATTACCCACCTGTCCCAAGAGCAGAGTTGTTTCAGCCTGCAGGAGCCTCTGTGTATTCTGCAGCCAGAACAAAGTTTCTCGTTCAATGAATGAGGCTTCTTGAGTTTCATTTATAATGGAGCAGAATTTTTACACTGGGAATCCAAAATGGCCTGGAGAGCCTTTGTCTCATGAAAGCTAGGTCTCAGATCATGTCTGAGAGAGAAACAAAGAGGCTCTTCAGAAGCTGAAAGCTCTGTTTCTTCCACAGCAGCCTTGGCCAGGTGAGAACACAGAGCAGCTGGGGTCCAGACAGACAAACAGTGCCAGGACCCTCAATCCCTCAGGTTTGGGTCCTTGGGAAGCCCTTCTCCAATGTGTCATGCTGGAGTCACCCTTGCTTCCACAGACCTGAGGTCTCCACTGTCCCACAGGGACCCTGCCCAGTCCCGCAGGAGGTCCCTGCTGCCCTGCACCCAGACGGAGCCAGGGCAGCCCCTTGCCCTGTGGAAACCCACACGAGTACGGGTTTTGCTGCCCTTGGGGAGTGAGTCCCTTGGCAGGAAAATCCCCAGGAACCCAGTGCAGCAGCCTGAGGCAGGACTGCCATTTCTCCATAGCCTACATCATCTCCACCAGCTATCTGCACCTTGGACTCATTTGAACAGGGCTCATGTCATCTTCTCAGCCTTGACATTGCTCCCCACCAATCTGAGGGCCCCAGCACTGCTCTGCCTGTGTGCTACAGGGGTCTGTATATCCCCAAGCACAGATATGTGGAATGTATACTGAGAACATGCAGCATTAGGGGAACTTTAAGAAACTAAATAACCACCAGGCCTGCTGGGATGTGCTGTTTAACGACTTCCACAGGAGGACAGGGGTCACCAGGACCCTCTCTGCATCATGGCAAGTGTCCCCAGCTCCTAAGCCCTTTGGCACAGCAACACCCATTCGCAGCACAGCCTCTCATTTTTAGGTTTACATCCATGTTTGTTTTGCTCTCCTGAAAGTTTAACTGTGTGCAAATACACACAGACATGAGCAATTCAAGCCTGAACGCCCTCCAAAGCTCTCACTGCTTCACTGCCACGTGGAAGACAGTGAACACAGGCAGGTACCAAAGCCACCACTGAAGGGATTTGGAAGGGATTTGTGACAGATGTATGGCCACATACAGATGTGCAGCAAGCATCTGAGCTGCAGCCCTGAGAAAGGCTGTGTTGTGCCATTGCACAGCAGGGCTGGCAGCACTGATAGCAGCATTAAAGGCAGAAAAATCAAAGAGCCTACCAGCATGGGACTGCTGAAACCAGCAGTTGGTCCAAGTGTGGCTGCTTCACGGCTCCCTCTGCGTCTGGAGGGATTGTGGGGAGCAGCTCTGTGCCCCGGGACTTGGCCCCTCACTGGTGGAGCACCCACCACAGAAAAGGGCCAAGAGCAGAGCAGAGTCTCCCTAGGCAGTGCCCACGTGGCACCCAAGGGATCTTGTTTACACCCTCCCTGTAGCACAGTGCTCAGTGGTCCCCGAGGGGCTTTCCTCTGCTGAGCAAGCCAGGAGATGGAGAGCTGAAGGTGAAGGCAGCAGTCGTTTTTTTCCTGCCTTTGTTCAAAAAGGAGAGCACTGTGAAAATTACCCCTTTTTTCCTCCTTCCATCTATGGATCTTTAAAGGTATTTCCACCAGAACCTCTGTCAGCCCCTGGCTCAGGGTAACGCAGGTTTCTGCCTTCTGCACAGGCTCCTGGCCACCCTGGCTGGAGCCACATGCGCATTAAATATTATCAGGGCACCCTCTGGTGGCACCACTGGAAATCCCAGTGTCTTGGCTGGGGAGGGGCAATATTCAGACCCAGATGCCACGGCACAGCTGGCAAACCCACCTGCAGCAAGAAAACATGATTTCACCCTTAGCTGGGAGCTCGCAGCTCTGCATTCCTGTGCATGTCTCTGTACCTTTCCCAGTCACTGTCAAGAGCTGGCCGCAGCTGACCCTGAAGTGTCCCTGGTCCTACTGTGCCTGTAAATGAGTTTTGCAACAAAAAGGTAGCACATTTTTTGGCTCCAGGCCAGTTAATTCACTGCCCGCTGTTACCTGACTAGGAAACACGCTGTGATGACCTTCAGAAACCTGCCTTGCTTGCAGGCAGCAGCTCCCAGGGCCAGGCGCTGGCACGTCACAGGGCACCCAGGGGACTCCCTGGCGTCCCTCGCCAGGCTGGCACCAGCAGTGCAGTTAGTCAGCCTTGCCAGCCTGCCCGGCCCCTTGGGATGTCCTTCAGCGTCCCCACCTCTGCCCTGCGGTGGCTTGTACCTGGTTTGGGGAGCAATGTGAGGCCACTGGCACCAGTGCCACTGCACCTCTCTCTGCTGTGCCTACCTGCAGAAGATGCAGAAGGCCCCGTTCTCCAGTGCTGGGGCAAACTGGGATCTGGATCTGAGAAAGGTTTAGCCCATGTTCCTCTCTGCCATCCTGAGGCTTATGCAACACAACCTCTCCACTGTCACCTGGTATAAAACTGTGAATGGCCTTTCGATGCACTCTCCTTTTCTGGCCGGTGGGAAAACCAACGTCAAATACTTCTTGTGTCATTTTAAATGCAGTGCCTCAGCTGTCAGTGTTTGCAGGGTATTTTCAGCTAGTCAGGAGACAGATTTATAGGAATTAATTTCCATATTGGCAAAGAAAGCAGAAACCTTCCCCGAAAAGCTCTGCAAATGCTGGATGTGAGACGTGACCACTTTCTGTGCATCTCAGCTGGGAGGAGGACCTGACCCTGGCCATTTTCAGTGAAGCCAAATACAAAATCCACATCCCCGACTCCCTCACCCCCTCCCAAAATACCCTAGCAGGACATGACTGTCAGAAATGCTTACTCTCAGCAAGGCCAGCACCTCCATGGGGCTCGAAGGGTTCACAGGCTTCCAGCTAAGCATGGATGTAAATATTTGCAGTACCAAGGTCCTGCAGAAATGCAGTTCATCACAGGGAAGACTTGTCAAACATACCTCTGGGTCCTGATAAATCATATTTTGTCTGTCAATTTTTTTTTTAAAATCACATATATTAGCCTTTT